CACCACTGTTACATCCGTCCCTCAGCCATGGCTAGTGGGCGCAATGCATTTACCGGTCGATGGTATGCAGAGCGAGCCCCTCTGATGCACTTAACTGCAGCTCGGAGGAGTGCAAACGACAGACGGCATCTGACATAGGCCATAACCTCGCCGTAGGGCTTGCCATCATGCTGTGCCAGCATAGCGCATAATCGCTTCAAAAACCGCAAGCATTCTGGGGATGCACTGCCAGCCGTGGTAAAGACAAGCGGGGTAAAGTTACCACGGTCAACATTGACAATCCTTTCGCTATACTGCAGCTTCTTCTGCCTCTCGTGCTGGAGAAGGAGGTCAGCGATGGGCTTCTTTGCGTACGAGGCGGCGTCAGGATGAAAGACTCGAATGTCAAGGAAAGTGTTCTGTGCCCTTGTCCAAAACCCACGTATGCGGACGTCAGATCGGGCATCATGTGCCGTGTTGGTGCTGGCAGCTCTGAAGACTTCGCCCTCCAGCGGCGCGAGCAATGGCTCCACAGACACGTCAGGGCACACCTCCGTGACTAAGTCCGCTATCATGTCTCGTACCTCATTATGTCTAATGGTAGGGAAGCCCCCGGTTGGGCAGCACATCGCATGAGCCGCGGTGAAATCCTGGCCACACACGCATTTCTCCTGGACATCCCTCAGAGGCCATCCGCACCTCAGCGCAATGGCATCGCGGAAGTCGCACTTGGACAGACTGAAGCCGTGCTCACGCAGCGGAAGGGTGTGGAGCCAGCTCGATACACCCTTGGCCGAAAGGTGTTCCAACTGGCGGGCGGCAAGCGGAGTAAGTGTTTCCTTGGCGCTCATATACCGCTGTTCGTCATGTTTTAGCCGTTCCGCCAGAGCTGCTGACTTGGCTCGCTGGGCTGAATGAATTGCATGCTCTATCGATATCGAGGGCCTGGACCGGTCATTCTGGTCGAGTATCTCCAGCGTTTGATCTGATGTGATTTTCCTCGACGTCTCCAGAGCCCCATTAGCCATTTGAGACAGGGATGGCACGGTAAAGCCACCCAGGCGTGTGGGAAGCTGAAGAACAGCCCATTCGTTGTCCGAAAATGCCTCCCTGCCAGTTACCGCAGGTATCAATACCGTGCGCATCATGTCATCCATCTGAGAGAGGCAATCGGCTGGAAAAGGTACTGTTCTGAGGAGGTAGGTCCACCGGCCGCGAAGACCATGTGTCAGGGCAGCATAGGCTGCATGCGGTTCCGTGCGCGCAACATCCGATAGTGCCTTTAGTTCCGCAATCCACTCGCCTACTCGCCGCCGCACATGCTCGGCAACAGCATCAGACTCGCCAATGTAGGAGCCTAGGTATTTCGTGGCGCCGGTCACGATACGTATGCCAGTACCAGCAAACATATAGACTAGTCAGGGAGCCGACCTTCAAAAAAGTGGCGCTCCAGGTCGGGCGAGATGGAGTACAAGATCTCTTCAGCAATGGGTTATGGGTCTATCAGAGAAGGGCTTTCGAGTTCTTGGCCATCCCAAAGCTGTGCACGGACATCGCGAGGACGCATTTTGTTCGACGATCAAATTCACAATTGTCAAGCATTTAGGCGCAAATGTTTTTCGTTCTCAGCCGACTTCTCGGTTTGAGAAGTAGGTGCGCACGCTCAAAATTCCAAATCAGTGACTATGCGCCTGTCCAGAAGATGACGACGCTGCAAGCTTACTTTCTCAAAGCGTGACATACATTTTCATTACGATTTTGACTTCGAAAGTGAGAATAGTATTGCCATCGTCAGGTCCACTAGTCACGAAGCATAGCGCTTCTGGACAAAAGCGCAACATAGAGTGTGTACCAGCAATAGTGCACAATAATACTCGCGCCTACTCCGGCAATTCTGCAACGCGTGCCAGCAAAGTTTCAAAAGTATATTTCCAGGTCTGACTGAGGTCGAGTCGAGCGAAGATTCCGGCAGAGTAGGCGAGATGTTGCTTGCTGACAAGTCGGCCTCCGCGTCGGCCTCCGCGTCCCTGAGTCCTGACTGCCAGTGCCACAGCTGTATGCACCAGTGACCAGTCACCGGACGTGCAAGATCATCATCACCCATGTCGGTACTCTGCCTGGCCTATTTATCTGCTGGTGGTGTCAACTCCGTTGCAGTTTGCCAGCTTGTTTGTTCCGGTACTCGTTCTTCACTGGTTCAGGTGAGCCCAGCTGCTTTTGCACAAAATACTTTGTGGATCCTGTGAGAGATCATGTAACTCGAAAACGAGACGTTGTTTGAAACAAAGGTAGAATGACAATCACTGCCAGTTCCACATGCACTTCTGACAGGAACTACGACAGACGTCTACGTGGCAGCACCAAAGGAGAGCATGGGATAGGCAACATAACAAGATAGAACATACATGCGCGCACGTGCATGTGTGCGAGCTTGTGTACACGCGCGCACGCCCACACACGCTTGCAAGCGTGTACTCACATGTGTGCGAGTGTGCATGAGTGCACACACACGCACACACATGTGACTCTCTGTTCGCACACACACACACATACATGTGTGCGAACATGCGCGCATTCATCACACACGCGTGCGCACATACACACAGGTGGATGCGCACATGCCAATGCTCACACACACACGCATACACGTGTACATGTGCACGCACACACACGCGTGCGCGCTTGCACGCACATACACACAGGTGGATGCGCACGTGAAAATGCTCACACACACATACACGCATACACATGTACATGTGCACGACACACACGCGCGCGCGCACACACAGGTGGATGCGCGCACATGCATGTGTGCGAGCTTGTGTACACGCGCGCACGCCCACACACGCGCGCAAGCGTGTACTCACATGTGTGCGAGTGTGCATGAGTGCACACACACGCACACACACACACACACACACATGTGACTCTCTGTTCGCACACACACACACATACATGTGTGCGAACATGCGCGCATTCAACACACACGCGTGCGCACATACACACAGGTGGATGCGCACATGCCAATGCTCACACACGCATACACGTGTACATGTGCACGCACACACACGCGTGCGCGCTTGCACGCACATACACACAGGTGGATGCGCACATGCAAATGCTCACACACACATACACGGATACACATGTACATGTGCACGACACACACGCGCGCGCACACACAGGTGGATGCGCACATGCAAATGCTCACACACACACGCGCATACACGTGTACATGTGCACGACACACGCGCGCGCGCGCGCACACACACACGTGGATGCGCACATGCAGATGCTCACACGCATACATACATATAAACACACACACTCATGCACGCGCGCGTCATTATCTACGAATCTCAGAAACATGCAACACGCGGCCAGAAGTTAATCATCACCAGTGAACTTGCTGTGATTGTGGTACCAACAACATGCTGTGCAAGAACGTCACCATCATCGGCTGCTCTGAGGTAGCATTCCAGAATGGCAATTTACAAAGCCGCTGTCTAGTGCCCTACTATCATCTCCACGGAGCAGCAGTCGGAACCCAGGAGATAACTGCTCGGCATAGCTGCAAACATCGCAAAGGTTACAGCACTGGATGCTTCTAGTGCAACGGGTCACCCCAACCCTGTACTATACTTGCTGGTGCATGTCCGAATGTGACAACCCAATCATTAGCGCCCATGTTCTGGACCGTCACTAACGCTTCCGCCCAGGGCCTTACTACGGGATTTTACGGTACTCATCGATGCAGGTCCGAATGTGGATACCCGCTCAGCAGCACTACACATGTGAGCAACAAGTGGACGTCGTTGGCAGCACAGAGCAGAGGATCGCAAACCGGATGAAGAATGGATACTGTTCTCCATGATGAAGGGATCAAAAACCGCTCAACACAGATATTGCGCTACATCGTCTTGCCTGGATGTATGCGGTGGTGCCGATGGCGGTGCCGATGCATATCGCGTCCATGACACTGTTTACATATCTGCATTCAGCCTTTGTTCACATAAATATGATGCACCGTAGCTGTAGTTTTAAAATGATTATATTCTACATGTTACCGCCACATTTACTGATTGCTTTTGCGGAAATTCCTAAAATTAATATACTACGTCTACTACTACTCAATTTACCACACAAAGGACTGAATGAAGTAGGGAAATAATCATCCCATGATCTTCTACAATGTGAATGCTTCCACGTACGCGCATGTCATTGTGCAGCATCCGAAACTTCAACAAAACAATGATTCAAAGAGACGTTATTCAAGATAAGTCATGCATTTCTACGTTCACTGGTATAATCAAAGATTCCGCAAGGCAGCTGCCATGGTGTGTACCTTACCACCTTTAACACACGTTGTCAGTCCGCTCATCGACTAGCATGAAATCGTTTGTAGCAGGAGTACTCTTGTTTGTAGTGAGGATCAATCTACAAAACACTATTGGTAAAAACAATCCAGAGTCACCTCGATGGAGACGGACAGTTCCTACGAGACCTGCCTGTCGACATCAGGGTCAAGTGACAAGTCATTTAGCCGTTACGCACGACAATCTCAGGAACACCAGTCATGTCCTCCTCCGACGAACCAGCTACTGTATGTTACTTCAGAACTCAGAACGACACAATTATACAAACAGAATGAAAAATGCTTCATCGACGGTGTGACTTTACGTTTCGCTTCGTGTTTCTTTGTGTTTCTCTTGAAAATCTAGCAAAATTGAGTCATTCGCATGAAAATGTCTGTTTACGTCAGCGAAACCCGCTGATTTTCCCCATTTTTCAAGCGCTGAATGGCGCAAAAACTGTGAAATCACGGCAACGAAATAGTGTTCGACGAGCGAACAAACCTCCTTGCACCGGCATTGGTGCACAGCTTCGGGACGGCCAAGTTCTCAAATCGTCCTCTAGAGACCCTTACCTACCTCTGTGCGAAGTTTCAAGTCCTCCCTCTGAAGTGGCATACCCCGAAAATAAAAAGCATCCTACAGATTTCAGCTCCCGGACTAGACACGTTGTCTACGTAGCTACGTAAGTTTCTACGTAAGATGCTCGGTACCTGGTCCTGGACCAGGGAGCTACTCCATGGCTCCTACCATCGCGCGGCCGGCTGGCCGCATGCGTGTGCATTGCAGACTTTTTGTTGTTGCCTTTTCGGATGTGCATGCACGAGGAACTTCCTTCTTTGGAACTGCTTCTTGCATGAGCTGTTTCGGATAGTTCGTCTCCTGGCCTGGCTTATTTCGTTTCGGCGCTGCTGAGACCTCCTTTCGCGGAATATTACTCAATGACAGGTGAGTTGACCAGTTCACTTTGATTCATTTGCTTGTGTTGACTCTTTCATTTACGAAAAGTGTGCTGATTTTGGGCGGAATGAAATAAATAATGGAAAAGCTGACAGGATCTCCTTTCTAAATTTAGCTTTTCCGCTGCCGAGGCCTCCTTTTACGGAATACTCAATGACAGGTGATCTCTGAGTTGACCAGTTTCCTTCGATTCATTTGCTTATGCTCACCCTTTCATTTACGGAAACGTGTGCTGATTTTATTCGGATTTAGACTCCATTTTTATCTCTTTGCCCTTGCCTACAGTGTGCGAAGAACGCGAGTTCACCTTCTTGACGGTAAGGCTTATGTTAGATGTGTTGTCGAAATACTCATATCCATTGCACATTAGTACGTTACAAGTAAGGCACTGGTCAGTGGCATACTATCGTTGGCAGTTCCCAATCTGGAGGGAAAGGTTCAAGGTCTCATTGACCGAGTTTGCCAAATAAATTCGCATATCAAGGAAAATCTCCATTGTGGAGAGGTTCAGTAACTTGTTTGCTTCATGCGAAACGAGCCAATGGGTGCAGTCTCGTGAAAATCTCGTACTTGTATGATTGCATTTGTTTACTCGAGTCTTGGCTTTTTGATTTGTGAGTACCGCCGAGATTGCACTGCCCCAAATAAAGTTTCGTGCCGCCAATGCAAGAATTACGATCTGCAATCTGTTTGTAGTACCTGTAGTACCTGCAAGAATGTGCAGTCCGTGTATCGTACTTTCTCTGTTGCTGTTTCAGTTGCTGTCATGTTGCTAAAGAAAGGTTCAGTAGAGAGGTTCTGCAAAACGAAAATTCGAACGAAGTTTCGCGACAGTCCTTGCGAAAGTGTGTACGAATTTTTGCACGAACTTTGCGTTCTGCACATTTTCGTAGTTTGCGCGGGCCAAGTGCACGTAGGTCATGATCCGATCTCACGAAATTCCTACGACAGTTCATATCGTGTTCCCTGCAAGTTTCGCTTCCAAAGTTGCGAAAGTTCGTGCGAAGTTTCGCACCTCCTGTTGTAGAGGGAAAGTTTGTACGCATTTTCGTTTTGCAGAACCTCTCTAGTGACTCTTTTGTTTGATACGAGACGAGTCAATGAGTCGGTGTGGCTTAGAATCTTTCGCTGTAGAATAAATCTATTCGTATGTCTATTTGAGAAATAATTGTATTCAGTGGTTATAAAATAGGTTAAGACAAACTCACAGAATAAATACCATCGGTCCCTTGGTGTTCGTCCTAAAGAGGTTCGACTGGATATCATCAAGAGTCCATAACCCCCCAGAGTGTGCAACTCGTGATCCTTCTCAGCACAAATCAGTGCCGCAACGAAATCCAAACTTCATACGTCATGTAGTGAGTAGCTATGACGAAATGGGAAGTTTGGCCCGGACCTACTTCGCCCGTTTGCCCAATTTGGGGTCTTTCTTTACGAATCCACGGTCAGGTATTGTACGTAACACGCCTGGAAAGGCTCAAGTACACAAAGAATTATTTTAGAGTTGTCGAACAGTTTTCTCTTTTGAGTGTCTCTCCGATAAGAGAAGAACAATGGCCACTGTTGAACCTAAAGCAAAGCGCTCCCCATTGTCGCCGGAGTGCAGTGTCTCTGTGGACGATATTCGTCAGTTTTTGTTCGATCTGGGCTCCTCATTTTCTTCTCTCGATTGTCGAGTGTTGGAAATTGTTAATTCTTCCAGCACCTGGATAGAGATTTATTGCTCGAAGTCTGTGCTTCTCACATGCAATGGAACACCCGTCAATTTGAACCGTCTGGTTGTGAACCCAGCAGGAACATTCACTGCAGGTTGAAGCACATCTACTTCGAAATCGATCGGGTCTTCATGCCGTGTGCCAAGAGCTATTTCCATCAAATCTTGTAAATCTATATCCATGCCTATTCTTGCTATCCCGGAGTCACGAACTCTCCCAATACAAGCTTTTCAGACAACGAGCAGAGAAACTCTCTTCAAATAAAAAAATTCTGTGACTGTGAAATCAAAGCCGTTCTGCTGACACTGCATGCAGCATAGCCCGTGCGCGTGCAGCAAACGTTTTACGTGACACTTCCGTGGCTTGCTTCAAAGCAACCTTCAACTAAGTTACTTGGAACCCCCGCCGGATGTACCAGATATGCACATGGGGATATGGCCCCATCCGCCCATGCTTGCCCGGGGACCGGATGACGCAATGTTTGGATTTCGTTGCGCCAGACCCCAACCTGGAGTTGCACACTCTGGGGGGTTATGGACTCTTGATATCATTCATACTCACCAAAAGATGTGTAAGATTTTATTATCATGGAGTGCCTTGTTTATCTCTCAGTATCAGTACCTCCAACCATAGCCTTGACCCTTTTATCCTCAGGATCAGTGTAGTTGTTGGAACGAGGTGTCGGACTCAGCAATGTATTTGTTTACATTTTAATACATGTTTATTGTTCCTCCTTTGCTGTGTTTGAAGAAGGGCTGAGGCTTCCTGCAGCTTCATCTGTGAAAAGAATTCGGGTGGACACACCCATTCCCATAGCGCTGTGTTGTTTTAGAAAATCGTGGACTAACAGTTTGAAGTCATTGAACTACTTCCAAAAGTTGTATCGACATCAACAGGATTACGATTTCAGTGCAATATGATGGTGGATGACCTTATCACGATAACCCATGATTATAAACCAATATAAACACAGAATCAACAAAAACATCTGCGACACGCACCTGGCGCATGGCTACATTTCTCAAACGAATCTGATCGAGGGTGGGGAAATCTGAAATATCTGAAAGGCACGACTCATGCATAACCTTCCTAGGGGGCTCCCGTAAGAAGACCATAGATCTGTGGGAAACACCCTAGTAAAAAAAAAAAAAAATTCACGGTTCGCGTGAGACTCGGCTGGAAGCCGGGCTTTCCGCATCCGTAGGAACGCCACCACCCTTCAAGGATCAAGGCGCAGCCAAGGGCGCGTTTGGTTGGTACGAACTAGAACAGGATTCACTAGAACAGCGCGTTTGGTTGGGACTGCACCTGTTCTGGGTCGGCCAGAACATGTTCTGCTTGCTCCGGCCTCGAGGCCGGAGCAGACCGAGCAGTTTCACTTTTTCACAGTGAAACCTGGCGGGAACATCGATTTTGGTCCCAGATGATCACGTGCATACGCTTTTGGGTTGGATTCGTCGTACCGTACAAAGTGACCATGGTGACCCATACACATTTTTGAAGAATGCACCATTTTGGCACATTTTCTCACAAAAATGTGCTCTGTTTCTGGAGTACCGTTTGGTTGGCATGAGGCTGCTCCATGTGCACCAGCTGTTCGATCCTGTTCTAGATCGTACCAACCAAACGCACCCCTAGTAAAATAAAAGTAAATAATAATAATAAGACAAATGAAATTCTGCAACAGCAACATGCACAGAGTGAACTCCGTATAAAAAAGTATAACCACCACTACTCACATGTTCACCTGCAGGAGAACATGCATTATCATGCCAGTGCCATTTTCTGCCAGAAAAGGCTTGCACATCAATGCGTATAATACGGTATTGATATGATCAAGAGTCCATAACCCCCCAGAGTGTGCAACTCGTGATCCTTCTCAGCACAAATCAGTGCCGCAACGAAATCCAAACTTCATACGTCATGTAGTGAGTAGCGGATGTACCAGATATGCACATGGCCCCATCCGCCCATGCTTGACTATGGACCGGATGACGCAATGTTTGGATTTCGTTGCGCCAGACCCCAGCCTCAGTTGCACACTCTGGGGGGTTATGGACTCTTGATATGATCAAGAGTGCATAAACCTCTTGATATGATGTGAAGGCCATCATTTACATAATTATTGATACCGGCAAGAGTACATAACCCCGGGGTTATGTACTCTTGATATAGGGCATTCCATTGATTGGTGACAGAAAAAACAAAAGAAATTATAGCAATAAAAACTGCTTTATGGCAGTTTTCTAAAAAAGGTTATTGTGTTCTAGTCCATGGACCCCGTCCAAAAAGTAAGAAATTACCGAAATGTGATAGCTGAAAATTAAAATTTCACACAAAACCTCACAATAATCACACACAGAATTAAAAGCTACATGTAGAAGACCTTTTCCCCTCGTGATCCTCTTTCCTATGCATGCATGTTGCCAATTGTTGGTGCAGTACAAGTTAAAGTTGAAAGCAGCATTTCAAGTGTTGTGATTATTGTGAGGTTTTGGGTGAAATTTTAATTTTCAGCTATCACATTTCGGTAATTTCTTACTTTTTGGACGGGGTCCATGGACTAGAACACAATAACCTTTTTTAGAAAACTGCCATAAAGCAGTTTTTATTGCTATAATATTGTAGGCTTCCTCCTCCTGCTCGGGCTTCACGAGAAGAAGCGTTTTCTCCGGGTTGGTGTTGTATCCGTACAGCTTGCCTTGTTCCTCAACGCTGTCCCACCATCCACGGAGACGAGTCAACTGCCCACCCGCACCAGAATCATCTGCATACCACGTTTGCCGTACGGTAGGATGCACAACCTGCAGTGCCTGGACTAGAGGGAGCGTCGCTAAAGCGTAGAAGACCATGGACAACGGGTCACCTTGCGTAGTGCCCTCGTCGGACGAAATCTCACCACCACCTGCAACAAAGAGTCGAGCCGGGGTGTTATACGAATTTTTCAGTATTGTCGCAATAGGTGGACATAGGTATTGTACATTGTGCAAAGCTGCTTGTCTGTTCAAGCAGTTGAAGGCATTACGTGCGTCTACCAAAAGAACAGCCTCGCAAGACTCATCATCATAAAGGCGTTGCATGGCATGAACAGCAGCTTCGATGCCCGCAGGAAGACCCGAGCACTTCTGTATGAAACCGCACGCTTCTTGAACATCTTACTTGGAAGCTTTTGTTTGGCCCACAGGGCGCTAGGGCGTCCACCGGAGTGACGTCTTCTCAATCACCCCAGTTCAAATGCCTGGAGTCATACTTTAGCCTAGGTATGGAAGGTAGCACAACAGATACATGTATATGCAAGAATGCAGCATCGGAATGGCTGCCCCAGGGAATAATATACTAGTAGGGCCTGGCGCAGGTTGGGACTGTTGATGTTGTAGTTAGTGCTGAAACGAGTACTCTATAAGCTATCGAGCGAGTACTGTCACTATCGAGTCGAGTATCGAGTACTCTATAAGTATAAGCAATCATGCGCATATATGTCAGTACCACATACCCATTTTTTGCACACCATTTACGCAATTCAATAACCTTCAATAAACACAAATTTTCATTGCAAAGCCACATGGACGAAGGATGTGTATGTCGCTATCAAGTTTTTTATTTATTTATTTATCGAGTCCTTTTTTGATATCGAGTCGAGTACTCAACGAGCGGGTACTCGAGTACTCGGCGTACTCGTTTCAGCACTAGTTGTAGTTGTTCATTCTATTTTAATTCGCAGTGGCCAAACCGTCGGCGAGCAGAGCCTGAGCTGAGGTGCTCAACAACAAGGAAGTGAAGGAAAGTCAAGGAGTACGACGGGAAATCCACAAGATTAATGGAGGAAGGGTCGGGGATTGAATGGAATGGACGATGGGAGCACTGATACAGAGGGGCATGCGTTTCAATGGTAGCAAAACACTTCAGAGCTCCCAACGGTACGTGAATGATCGCCTCATCATTGACCGGGACACTGATTGCGCATCGTTATCTATTAGAGCACGACATCACGAACTTCTTATGTCACTGCTTCACAGGCGATCATTAAAATCTAGCACCCCCGGAGGATGCACCTTTGCTGCAACGGACCGGCCTTGTTCCAATGTTATACTGTCTACGAACATAGCAGATACTCAAGGCCTTCTTGTTCTGGTGTTTTGGAAGAAGTATCTAATACTTGCCAGTGATCCTGATCATGAATTTCTCAACAACCCTGCAGGACTATCAGCATCGCCAGAATCCCGTTCAGTATGATGTTCGTGCCTCGAGCACCGTTCGCAAAGCACAAACTCGAACCCCACCCCGCAGTATTTGTACCTCCGTTGACGTGCTCAGCTCACCAGTACAACACCAGCACATCTAGGAGAAATCGAGAATCGAATATTACGTGCAGGTCTCTGCCCTTTACTTTCTCCGCTCTGTTGCTCACACATGCTATGAGAGCATTGACAGTTGCGAGAATGCGGAAAACTGCCACCATTCTTTGTGTACTGTTGGTAGTGATGGTGGTTGATGCAAGGGCCACTACATCCAGCGATGTTAGTACCTCCGCAGTATCAAACCAGTCCAATGATTGTATGCAAGCCTTCTTCCAACAGGCTGGAGTACGCAGTTCACATGTCACTCAGTACGTTGCTAATTTCCGACAAAATGGCGTCGGACCAGAGGTTCTGTTTGACTTGAGGTTTGTGGACTTGGCCAAGACACGTTTAGCATTACGTATGCAGGTGATACGTTCGGCATCCATACTTGTATCACTGGTCGAGGTCGGTGTGTGGTGCAGCCTTTCTGCCATAACGAGGGGACTTGTGTCTATAGTGAAGTCACACGTCAACACCATTGCAAGTGCAAGCACAAGTATACCGGACCAAGATGTTCCAAGAAAGTCGAGAATCCCGTGGAGGAGCTGAGACGGAAGGTAAAACAAATGTCTGTTGTGCTAGCCAATGTTGGTGTGTCGTATACCCGCTGGGGAAGGAACTCCTGTAATTCCTCTTCGGGAGCAGAACTTGTTTATCCTGGACAAATGGCTGGATCGTTGTACACACACACTGGAGGTGGATCCAATTACATCTGTTTACCACTGAATCCACAGTATGACAAATACAGGAGTGGAGCTCAGGGCCACAGTTACCTTTATGGTACCGAGTTGGAAACCGGTGGTTATTTTTCACCGTTTGGCAGTCTTCAAGATCAGAACCCTTCCTGTGCTGTATGTCACGTGGCGGGAAGATCATCCCAGATCATGATTCCTGGTCACATGACCTGTCCGCCATCATGGAGTCGGGAATACCATGGTTACCTGATGAGCGGGAGCCATGGTCAAAAGGGCCGCACGGAGTATATCTGTGTTGATGGCAATCCTGATGTGTTGCGCGGCCAGAGCGCGGACACGAATGGAGCTCTCCTGTACCCTGTCGAGGTCCACTGCGGCCATGGATTGGACTGTCCACCATTCGACAACAGCAAGGAATTGACATGTGTGGTTTGTTCCAGATAATTGGTAATGTCGAAAGTTCGTCAAAAATTTGGCAATCGCCGTACAGGAATCTAGCTAACACCCTCCCTAGCTATTAGTCTTCCTGTACAATGTACATGTACATGACTGATTGTACTTAGTGGCAAAGTGTGCATGCGACTAGACAGGGGGGTATGCGACTAGAGAGGTAACAAACTACATGTACTAACAACAGCTGTTTGCTTGTTCGCAAAATGCTCAAAACACACTTAGTAGTCTAGAGGCACTGGCACTCCCATATTCCATTTCCAAACATGCAGCTAGTTACTTCACGATCCTTTATCTTGGCTCTTGTTGTGTTCACCAAAGTACAGTCACACCTTTGTCGATTGCCGCTTCTCCACGGGGCCCGTCTAACACCCTGTTACGTGTGCCATAGGAGTATTACGAGGAATGCTCCGTTCTATCTCACGAATCATCTTTTGTTAGCTCATGCAAGTCTGCATACATGTACTACTGATGTTGCATCGTTAACCCATATACTAGTACCCACTTTCAGGTGTACCAGTAGCATTTGTATTTTTGTGTTGTAGTTTATTGCTATACTTGGGTATTCCGAACAGACCCTAAGGTCTTCTAACAGGGTGCCCAGGGTGGTGTGAAGTATATTGCATACAGTGCAGCTGCTTATCTCGTTAGTGTTCCACCAAGTGTTTCAATACACTGTACATGTACTGTACTGTATAACCTGGCTGACATTATCAAAAAATATTGAAAGACATCAGAATATCTTTCCAGGTACTATTATAGTTTCTAAGTAGCCATCTTCTTCATGAAAGCACATGGATTCCGTACAACTGCATGCTCTATAAATTACTGGTACGGAAAATTCATAAATATATTTGTATCAGGAATCATTCAATTGCTCGGCGTAAAATAAGGGTTAACAACAGCAACAAGGACATGAACAGCAGCATAGACCTCCACAACAGCAACAATTTTATTATTATTATTATTATTATTTTAATAACGAAGGTACGTGTTGGGTCGTAAGTATCCACGCAAACACACATCCAGTCAAAATAAGGCACTTGTCAAAGTATCCGAACGTTTTCGGTCCCTTCTCATCAAGGATTATACAGGGAATGGCTCAAGTTGGAAAGACTACAACTTATAATAATAATTATAGCGTAAAGATATGAGATAACAACACTCGTGACAAGGTGGAAAATTATCAAGTTCAGCACGACACAAAACTCGAAGGAAATAATACATGTAATAGTGACAAGAACATAGTGAACAAATTAAGTTACATTGTTAACACCTCGACGAGGAGTAACACCAAACAATTGTAGCGACAACACATTTTCTTTCTGTACGCAAAGTTCAGGATCTAACTTACGGAAGTACAAAGCTTCTAACACAGCCAGATGCAACGCACATCTACCACGTGACAATATTGAGAACACATTATCACTGTACAACTCACGACAATTGGTACGGGCTGACAGATGTTGCTTGATGGACGAAGTGCGATTCTTAGCTCCGTTGGGTGTTGTCTCCTCCAATGTCCCGGTCATCTCGCCTCTTCGCGGCATCACCACTATCCGTCTCTTTGCTTTTCCGCGGCCTTCCACGTTTTCTGACACTAGCCGTTGTGTGCGCGATGCCCAGTGTCCTTTCAGCTACGTCTCCTCCATTGCGGATTTCTATTGATCTTCTTACTCCAACTTGTCCGGTGTTCGATATTGAGGTTCGTTTTCGCGGTCTACCACGTTTTCGAATATTGACTGTTGTTGTCACTTCCGTTGTCGTTGTACGTGCGTCCTCACCAGTCCGTATTTTATATATTTGTTTTGTTTTGTTTTATATATTTGTTCACTATGTTCTTGTCACTATTATTATTTCCTTCGAGTTTTGTGTCGTGCTGAACTTGATAATTTTCCACCTTGTCACGAGTGTTGTTATCTCATATCTTTACGCTATAATTATTATTATAAGTTGTAGTCTTTCCAACTTGAGCCATTCCCTGTATAATCCTTGATGAGAAGGGACCGAAAACGTTCGGATACTTTGACAAGTGCCTTATTTTGACTGGATGTGTGTTTGCGTGGATACTTACGACCCAACACGTACCTTCGTTATTAAAGTATTATCCGCCTCCGACTTCTTGTGAAATTATTATTATTATTATTATTATTATTATTATGAAATGACCCAAAGGCAATGTGCCTATCGAGGGGTTCATTTGATTGAAAGAACAGTAGATGTAGATGTATGTACAAAGAGAAGTAGGGATTGATGAGGAGAGAAATGGGGAAAATCAACTGCAAGGTGGCGGAATTCCGTTGATTGCATAAGCATAGTCAGCTGTAAATTTCCTGAGGGCAGCTTTGAACTTATAGAGCGAGGCTTCCGATGTTAGACTGGGGGTAAACAGTTCCATAGAAAAGCAGTTCGGAACATGAAGAGAGACTTAGACAATGATTTAAATTTGGGAAGAATGATTTTATTTGGTCGTCGCTCACTATTCGTAATCTTGAAATGGAAATCAGCAAGGTAATCACGATGATGGAAAACATATCTGTGAAAAGTAGTGAGACTGATGATTTGACGACGATAGGCTAGTGACTCTAGGGAGCATTTAGAATTTAAGACAGATTTGGAAGAAGTGTAATCAAATGCATTTTTTTTCTTTTTCAGTAGAGCTCTAGCAAACCTTGCCTGTAATTGATCAAGAGTGGTCATGGGTTTCTTATTAGATCCAAACGACCACACCGTACAGCTATATTCGATCACAGGTCTTACGAACCCTTTGTACAGTATGATCATTGCCGAAGGCGCAATGACAGCAGCACCACCAACAACAAGAGCAGCAGCATGTGATAAGGAAACTCCTCCTCGGCCTCCAGACTGGTACTGAAGTAATTTGTAATTTTTTTATTATTTGAGGATTCCCCAAAGGCTTTCGCCTATCGAGGGGGTTTCAAAGCTTTCCATAATAACAATCTGTAAAAGAAGTGATGAGCAATAGGCGAGCAAAGAAAGAGATAGAGACATAGTCTAGGGCAGAGCTCTGCGCTTGAACATAATGATTGTAATAAGCGTGCAGAACTGGGATAATACATGTAAATGATGTAAAGTGTGCCAGAGATAAGCTAAGTACATGCGAAAGAGATGCACACTTTCGCAATCTTTCAACATCTCTGTTGTGTAAAATGGGAGCTTCTGCTGGATACCATGGAC